ACCTTTGGTCATTTGTTGGACAGTGTACAGTAGATGGTTGTCTAAATAAGCTTCTTTGTGCTTCTGTAACAACCAACTCTGCATATGGATGGATGGATGGCTTTATTATGGTCAAAGACCAGCAAGACTCTACAGATGTCATTTCATGCAGCATATGACTACATTAAAGAGGAATATCAGAACTAAATTAGAAACAACACAGATTACAGACACTGGACATTATTACACATCAATGTTCATGCCTTGCTTCGTAATCATATTTATTTATTTATTTAAAATACATTTTACCCCACCTTTCTCCTTAAAAAGAACCCAAGGTGGCTTACATCATTAAAAGACAATATTTAAAGCTAAAAACGGTAAGTATACAAATACTAAAAAAGATCAAACAAATACCACATTAAAAGATGAATTATGTGTATTCAGATGTAGTTTGCCATTCCCAGTTCTGAGGGTATTTTGAGACTATGCAGCTTGCCCAAGGCTACCCAGGCTGGCTCTTCTCGCAGAAGGCAAAGAGGGAATTCAAACTCCAACTCATGGAGCCATCCAGTCAACACATGACTTTCTTACCCATACTTTATTCACTTATAACAACTACCATCATACAAGGAATTGTCTGAAAGTAAGCTCCAAAAAACACAATGAGGCTTATATCTGAGGAAGCAGGTATATTATTGCCAGGCTGTCTTAGCTTCAGCTGCCCATCTGCATTGTGATGGATAATATTAATGAATGGCTTTTGGAAGCTTTGTGAGGATTACTGCTGGTAATTAGGTGAAATAAGAACTTTTAACTAGCCCAAAGCAGTTCAGAAATGCTAAGCATTACTTGTTGTGATGGCAGTGAGCACCCATACAAACACTAGAAATCCATCTGCTTTTCTCATGCCCAAACAACTAGAATCATGTATTTTTCTACCATTTAATAAATTTATAATCTGCAAGTATTCTTGGCTGGGTTCAAAACTTACAGATGATTTATAAAGAATGGAGGGTTACTCGTAAACAAAACTGGCCAAATCCCTATATAGTATGGTGGTAAAATTCCAGAGCATATTTGAGAATGTACTATACAGTACGTGTAGCCGCCTTCTCAATGTATATCACAGTCTAAAAACATATTGTGGCTGCCTGTGATGGAATTAGGAGAATGTGTGTTTAACAGCTGTCCACCAAAATAACTGAATGTAAATTCTACTTTTGGAGGCCTCTACCGGATATTGTGGCCAAAAAAGAGGGAGATGTTGTGCTGGTGAATTTCCAGAAGGAATCTGGCTACGAGTATTGTTTGAAACAGATTAGTAGAGAAGAGATATCCTGGCTTGATTCAGCAGGGCAATTATGATGTTATAACTCTGCCTTCAGGATGGGAAGAGAAGCAGCTGGTGAAAGATTAGATCTACAAATTGGAAGAAATCTGTAGTATTTACTATAAATAAAATGCTCCAGAAATTTGAAATTGAATAATGCATTTTGTATTATTATACTACATTATATACTTACAGCATTATTATTCGTGTATTCTTAGGCAGCACTTGACTTTGTCCAGAAATGTTGGGGTGATCTGCTCAGACTTGATCCAGAAACTGTCCCTACACATATTATCAGAGACACGTACCTAATACTGAGTTCGGCTACTCATCCATCTAGCCCATGTATCTTGAAGGGCAGCAGATTTCCAAAACCTGGGCAGATGCCTTTCCCAGTCTTGCCACTTCTACTAAGAGGCACCCAGAAATGAATCTTCTTGCACCTTATATATACAAATCATGTGTTCTTTTAATGAGTTATGGGACATCTTCCTTGAGCACAAGTAGGTAAGCTGTGGCCCTAATGCGACTTTGAACAGAAATCTTCTGGGCCTAAGATTCACTGCTTTTGGACATTTTTCCCCACTGCCTTCCCTCATGAAATAAAAAACAAGAAAACTGAATTTAACATCAATTTCCATTCTGTCCTGGCACAAGAAAGTAAGAGTCCAGTGGCACTTCAAAGACTAGCATTGTACATATTGTTAAGTCTTCAAAGTCTCTAGACTTTTTTTTTTCTTGTGACAAACCAATTTCCAACCTCTATCCAGACATTTTTCATCTTAGTAAAAGAGTGTACAAATCTAATTACCATATTTTTTGCTCCATAAGACGCACCTTTCCGTAAGACGCACCAATTTTTAGGAGAAGAAAACAGGAAAATATCATGTTTTCTTCGCTCCATAACACGCACAGACTTTCAACCCCCGTTTTGTGGGGAAAAAGTGCGTCTTATGGTGCGAAAAATACAGTATATGTTTTTTGGGGATTCTGGTCCATTCATTAATTTCATCATAATCACCTGTATTTTCCAAGCAATAGATTCCTAGAAAATTGATTGAAAAAGAACCCTGACCATTGCTTTGAATTTGGGTCAGAAGTGATTAATTGATGAAAGAAGAAGTCAACTTCTGGGATTTTCCCTCCTCCCACAAAAGATCTTCAAGGCAGTGGGGCTGACACCAAGAAAGCCCTGTTGCTATTAATTTCAGCTTTGCATAAAATGAAATCTGGATTAATATTTCTCAAAGTAATCAAACAATTTAGGGCCTTAAGGTTTGAAAACCAGTGCTTTAAAACTGGCTGCAAACTAATTGGCAACCAGCGCAAGTAACTCAAAATCTGGGCATGGACTACATCTCCCAGAATCCCTGTCACCTCTGCCTGTGTCCATGCACTGGCTGTAGCATTCTGGACCTTACAAAGATAGAAGAAGTCACAGCCCAAGGGGACTCCCAGTGGGGAGGAGTAGCAAACATCCAGCATCAAACTGTGGAAGTTCATTTCCAGCAAAGAGTATAACTGCCACAAAAGAGTGCCTCTGTCTCTCAAATTCTGAAGGACAGATAAGGAATATCTTGGTCAGTGTTGTTGAAAATGCAGCTGCCAATCTCAGAACTGTAGTTTGTGTGTATTCTGGGGAGTTGACTGGCATCAACTAAGACTGTCTCAATTCCAAAGGATCTCAAATCAGCCCAAATCAACTGTATGATTCTTTACAGCTCTTATTTTCCAAAGGTAAAACATATTTCCTCTTTAAGTCTACTGTTTGATTAAACATGTAGAATGGTCACCAGTTTGTGCCTATTTGAGTTCATTGAAGGAAAGATAATGTGATAATGATTTGCACAGTAAATAAGTTCAGGACAGAGTGGATTTCTCTGAATATCATATAAAATATCATATCAAATAGAATAAATAGATAAAATAAATATCAACCTCACCCATGTGTTTTCTCCAAACTGTATACTGACAGTCATTGAATAATAAACGTAAGTAAAAATTGCTCAATAAGCCACAATTTGTGCCTTCTCTTAAGCACTAATGCATGTCTCATGATCGTTGCCCTCACAACTTCACATCTGAATGTCAGTGATGTTGTATACATGGTGCTTTTTGCATTTGTTGTGTCATACATGCATAGAGTTCAAATATGAACATCCACATATAATTGAATCTGTATATGCCCATGCTGTATTACATGTGTAGTGACAATACATTGGCATTGCTAGACTTCAGATGTGAGTAATAGCTCTGCTTGTTGGAAGAAAGACACTGGCTGCACAATGGAATGTCAAGCTTACCCATTAACATGATCTCACCTCTTTCTGGAGGTAGACTAAAGAAAAAAAAACCCAAACAAACCAAGAATGCCCATTGGAGACTATGAGAGTGATAGAAAAGCCCCCTGGAAATAATCAGAGCTGCAAATGCTAGTTGACACGACTAGCCTCCTTTAAAGTAAATTCATGCCACAAAGAAAGGAGGGAATGGTTTGCAGAGCTAGATTACATTAACCACACTGATAGGAAGGAATGATGGGAAAACAGCAATGTCAGATCTTGGGAGCTTGGAGTCCCAGGCCTGTCATTCTACCCTCCAGGGGGCTTCATCTCAGTCCTAAGCCTGTCATTCCACTCCATGGGGTTGTCATTCCAGTCCCAAGAGCATCGGCCCAGTCCTAGGGCTGTCACTCCACTCCCAAGGGCTGTCATTCCAACCTCTCCAGGTCTGACAACACTACTGTATTCCCCCTAAAGTCCCCCCTACTAAAGCAGAGGCCACTCTGGCTGCTTGATTTCCTTTGCCAATCCTTCCAACCCAACAAATTACAATCTGGTCCCTACCAGATCCAAGGCCCTAAGAGCCAAACCCCAAATCCAACCATATTTTGCCACTGCAGGAGTCAACAGCCTGACTGCTTCTTTGCAGGATCCACTCCTCACTTCGCACCTCGGCTCTCCTAAAGGCCCAGCCCCGTCACCCAGCGCTTCTCTCCGCATCACCTTTCAGAAACGTTCCCCATCAGGGAGACGCCGTCTCTAGGGCTAAGCCCTTTAAAAAGCCTATTACGCCTCGCAATAGGAAGCGTCATCCCTCTCGACGGCCGGCGTTTCACTTTCGCTTCCAGGCTTAACGCCACGGAGGCCACCGGGCCCAGTGCCCGCACCCAGCACCGCGCCTCGCGGTTGGCGGGCGGCCAGTTCGGCCTGGCAACGCGGAGGCGAGCGGCAGGCGGGCGGCGCTCAATCCCCTCCAGGGCGAAGAGGAGGAGGAGGATTGGCTCCTACGGAAAGAAGGGGGTGTTAAACAGAGACATTCATGCAAACCAAGCTTGAAAATCAGGCTGGTTGCCAGAGATCGTTTGGTATTAAATATGCGTCACCGTTTGACAAGACCTGCCTCCAGAGGTGACCATTAAAGGCTAAGTTTCCCCCGCGCGGCGTTGATGGGCTCCGCGCCGGCCTCACGCCAGGGGTTTGGCGGCGGGAGCATGCGCCGTCATCTCCGCAGACGCCGCGGCTTTTCCCTCAGACCCGCCGCCTCCAAGTTTCCTCTCTTCTATTCCGCCCTGAGGCTGTTTGACGACAGCCTTACAAAAAGTGCAAAAAAAGAAAATGTGAAATAGAGAACAAGCCTGTTGTTGTTGCTGCTGCTGCTGCAACGAGTTGGAGGGAGGGAGAGGTGCAAACAGACAGAGAAAGAGGAGGAGGAAACAAACTTCAAGAAAGGCGGAGACTTTCTTTTCGGTGTGTGGTTGCTTTTGGATTCCGGTGTGTTTGCAGCCCTAGGCAAATGACGGATGCGGTCCCCCTTGGCTGCACGGGGGATTGAGTCGATTTAACATGGGGTTGTGGCGGCCAGTCTTAGAAGAGGGTAGGGTTTCCCCTGCCACCTCTGTCCCAAGCAGTTTTAATGCTCAGGCGAGGTTATTTCTGGCGCGGGAATTGAGAGCGAAACGGGCCGAGCGGCTGGCACAGTATAGGCAGTTTAATAAGCGGGAAGGTACTGCAAACTTCCCTGGCTAGGGACGCAAGTACGACTATAGTCCGCTGGACTCAAGTACGACTATCCTGGCATTGCAGTAATAAAAGGTAGCTGCCGTTTTCCCGTGCACCCGCTCTTCTTGGTCTGGGAAAAGAAATAATGCCGCTGCCACCCTTTCGCCTTGCAGTTAGGCTTTTGTTGCAAAATCATCCGTGAAAAATGTTCCTAACGAACGGAGTAAAGACAGAGACCTGGGGTTAGAGAAGGACGGGAACAGGCTTGCTATTGTCTGTTTCCCAGCCCTGCCGCTCTCGAGGGCTTCGTCCAGCTGGAAAGAGGGGGCAGGACTGGATGTTTTGCAGCTAAAGACGACCCAGGTTATGAGGTCGCGCTGGGGCCCCGCACAAGGTGCCCTCGTTTTGACTCGATTTTGATGGCGAGGCTGGTGTGGAGGGGAGAGGAAACTCGTCCTCCTCATCACTCCCCTCGTCCAGGAGGTTATAAAGGACCTGGGCTTGAGCTGGCTGATAAACGCTTTCCACCTGAGGTGATAATGTTGTGGTCTGTGAGGGCTGTGGACGAAGTCCCCCAAGAGCTGAGGCCACCCAGACTTCGCACCAAGACCTCGTGAGGGCTGCGGACGAAGTCCCCCAAGAGCTGAGGTGGCTTGAGGCCACCCAGACTTCGCACCAAGACCTACTGAAGTCTGCACTTAGACCTTGCCCTCCGTTGCCAAGGTATTTGACAACCTGAGGGCAAAGCGTGTGCACAAATGTAAGGCCCTTGGTAACTAGAGACGTCTGGAGTAGGGTGCAGGAGCAAGAGAATTAAGCTGACCGCAGGAACTGCTTTTCCTACGGGAAGCGAGGACTGGAACTACGCGTTGACGTGAAACAGGCTGGAATCCAGTGTGACTTCCATCATTTCGCATGGCATAAGCCCTACTGCACTTTCAAATGATGCCCAGTGGCACTATTTTTAAATGCAGTAGGGCCTCAACCAGATGAGAAAGAGCCCTTCCTCCTCTGCAAGGCTTGCCTGTCCTGGGGTAGGCAACTGGAGCCATGGAGTGCAGTAGGAGCGAGTGTTCCTTGAATGGGTTTGGAGGCTGCTGCTGCCGCTGCTGCTGCCAACATGTGCTCCCTGAACACTGCTGTCCAGCCTCCTGCTGGACAAGCAGGTCCTGCGGAGGAGGAAGGGAAGCAGAGTCCTTGCCTGCTCCAGGTGTGGTAAGAAAAAAAAAGTACTGAAGCAGATCCATGAAAAAAAAGAACGTCACTGAGTGGTGGAAGACTTCCCAGCTACCTTAGCACTGGCTGGCAGACATTGTTTTTGTCCTGTGGGTAAGGCCTCCATTTTCTCTGCATTAGATCGGGCATGATTGGAACATTTTCACTCCAGTTTGCAGATGAACAGAAGTAAAAAGCTTACTGGAGACGACCTGCAATGTATAGTTCCAGCCTAAGAGATGGGGGTGGGGGCAGTGGCTAAGTGTTAAATTGTTGCTGACAGTTATGAAAGTAATATCCTGTTAAGCTTTTTCTGAATAGGAAGTCCTGCCAGTGTGGAAATGGAGGATCACACAGAAAATGCTGTTGGAAAGCAGAGAGTGGGGTTTTTTTGTTTTGTTTTTTGTTTGCTTTTTGTTTTGTTTTTGCATGGAGATCACTGCACCACAACAATGCTGTGTAAAAAGCACTATGAAAATGTTGGTGGGACTTTTCAATGGAAACTCATCAGGGTACTGAGCAAATCACAATTTAGAATTTTCTGCTTCTGAAAATTCTTCCTTGGGTCAATAAATGTTTCGCAATATCTGATTGTGGCTCAAACATAAGTAAGAATGTGTATACGGAGGTACTGCCACGAGCAATTCCGTTCATATATGTTTCGGACCTGTTGCTTAAAAAAGACTGGATTATAAAACATTAGGCCTAGGAGAAGAATAAAGATACACACTGGGTCATAAACCTCACCCTCATGCACCAGTTCTGGCATTCGTAGACCTAAAGTATCCCTGGCAGATACTTTTACTGCCTCTTCAAGCCTTCAAGTGATTCTACTTCCTAGAGGGTCTTCTCATCCATCAGACCCTGCCGCTGCTCTGCCAAAGTAGCATACTCTGACAAGGAAATTTCATGAGCTGTCATAGATGTGGGAATGGAGAAAGATGTAGCAAGCCTGGATATACATAAATGTCAGAAATCATTACCCAGGTGTAAATTTAGATGGTAGATGTTTCTGCTACTTCAGAGGTGGGAGGATAAGGCAGATGCTGCAGGGAGGAAGGGAGAGACGACAGGCTGTGTGCGCTGGAAAGAAAGTGTAGCCTGAGGCAGGAAAAATCCCTGCCTAAAATTTTTGCTGGTGGCAGCTGGGGAGTATGAAATACTAAACTGAAACAGTAAAGTCATTAAATCAAGGAGACTTTGGTAACATCAGTCTGTATATAAATCCCATCGAGTCAAAGAGTCTACTCTAGTTGAGTATAACAATTGCATTTGGTTCAGATTTTTTTGCTTCACCTGCTGTGACAGATACGAGGAGGAGGAGAAAGACGGAAGTACCAGAGCCCCCTGGGAAGATGGTGGCATTGGCCAATACAAGGATACAGCATTTACTTCACTGATAATCTCTTTTCATCAGTCTGCTTGTTGCAGAAACCTATACAGTAGTGCCTCGCTTAACGACAATAATCCATTCCAGGAAAATCACTGTTAAGCGAAAACATTGTAAAGCGAAATTAAAAACCCAATTGAAACGCATTGAAACCCGTTCAGTGCATTCCAGTGGGGTAAAAACTCACCGTCCAGCGAAGATCCTCCATACAGCAGCCATTTTCGCTGCCTGTATAGCGAGGAATCCGTCCCTAAGCACAGCAGGGAGCCATTTTAAGCACCCAGCGGCCATTTTGAAAACCCAACGATCAGCTGTTTTTGATCGTCGTAAAGCAAAAATCTGTTTCCGAAGCAGGGAACCGATCGTCGCTAAGCGCAATTCCCCCATTTAGACCATCGCTTCACAGTCGCAATTGCGATCGCAGAAAGATCGTCGTAAAGTGGATTCGTTATCATGTGGGGCAATCGTTAAGCGGGGCACCACTGTAATTAAGTAACACACCCTAGAATATTACCACTGTTGGCACATATCTTCTGTATTGTCATGCCATCGAAAGCCTACCAGTCTTGTCTGAGTTTAGAAGCTAAGCATGGCAGAGTCTGGTTAGTACTTGGATGGGAAGCCATCAGGGATTACCAGGGGTCTTCAGGTAGGGCCAGGAAGTAATCCTACCTGGATCCCTAGAGAGCGGCTGCCAGTCAGAATTCATGGAAGAATGATCGGACTGAGCAGAAAGCAGCTTCCTGAATTCTCTGAGCAAAACGATTCCTACCAACTATAAACTGTAGTTTCTATCTTAAAATATCAGTTTCTAAATTACCAAGTATTAGATTTTGTTTTCATCCTCTAAAATACAATTGAGCCCTGTCCTGCAGATATTTTATAGGCATGTCCTTTTTTTGTTTTTGTTTTGACTTGCGTGGAAGTAGTTGAAGCTTTTACTGTGAAGAGATTTTAATGTTTCTTTTTAAATGAAAATCTAGGGTTGTTGTTGTTTGTTTTTGTTTTTTTTGCCGCAGAGACTTTGGAATAGGATGCAGAATGCAGATGCTCCCAAATGCTAATGACAGAATGCTGAAATCACCAGTGATTTGTTGTACACTAATTTTGCAAAGCTTGGTGCCCCCATATCTTTTTTCCTGAAGTGCTTTCCAGTGAGCTTTATAGTGTAATTAAACCTATCAGTGCAATGGCATGTGCTTGTTAAAAGAGCCACCTTTGGTACTTAATTGTAGTTAGCCATCATTTGCTTTATTAAAAGGACATTTGCAAATATACAACAAGGCAGGCAAATCCCCAAGGAATCTAACCCACTATCTTCAAAACCCACACACAGCTCTAACCTTCCCTTTGGCTGAAAAGAGCTGGACATGTTTCCCCTCTAGAGCCTATTAAAACCACTCTGTTAAGTGACCAGAGGCTGTTAACGCATTAATGACATTAGTTTCTTCTTTTCCTTTAGGGACTTTGCTCAAAGCTCCCTCCCCCCCTTTTTGGTGACACTAATAGCGTTTCTGTAGAGGATTGGATTTGTTAGCTGAGCTGATCAGAATAATGCAAGCTAATGCCATCCTCATTTTTGGTGTCTGTCTAAAGGCCATCTTCTCTAATGCTTTATATTCAGTAGAGTGAGTTTTAATATCACCCTTAAGGGGTGATTGGTCTTATCTGCAGCTTTTGAGATCATAGTTGGTAATTGGTGTCTCCTTTAATTCTTATCCCACTGATACACTTAGCTAAGAAAGTGGTCCCAGCCATATGATAATTCAGCTATGCCAGACTGTGAGTGCAGATTTACATAGTCCAGCCTGTCCCTTGGGACAAATGGTAGATTCTGTGCAGAAGTCTCAAAACCAAAAATATTTTGACTGAGGACAAAGATGATTGGTGTCACAAAGTATTATAGCACAAGCATCACAGCGAAAGGATTACTAGTTGTTGTTTTTTGGCCTTGAAACTCAGCACACACCCTATTGTACACAGCTTTAGATAAGGTTTTCTATTTAAAGTAATTTGAATTTAAAATAAGGGAGCAATATTCTGGTCTCTTTGGCTGTTACTGAATTCCAGCTCTCTTAAGTAAGGCCAGATGAACTATGAGAACTGATCAGTGGTGACTAAAGGCAACCTAAACAGTATTAAG